TGGAAGTTCTCTGTCAATATACTGTTGCAACCGTTTTTTTAATTATCTTCAGTAAGATTTTACTTACATGCATGCAGTGTAGTAAATTACCTGGTATGGCTTTTCTAGCCAAAAGTCTTTGTAAACTCTGTGGTGGAATTTGCTGTGAGCAACTGAGGAGCTCCTGATTGTAAGTTATCCACCTGGGGTATTTCTTTTGGGTGCAACACAAAGCAATATTCTGGGAGGTTCCTGCTCTCTCTCAGGTGCTTAGAATTCTGATATTATGATTGGTTAATTTGGCCACTCTGCCAGGCTCAAAAGGAGGCCTCCTAGAGGCAGAACTAGCTCTGACTGCTGGCTGAGAAAGGATACACTCCTGGGAGACATGCACTGCTGGGAAAGAGATGCAAGAGACACACATTGCTGAGAGAGACACTGAGGGACACACACTGCTGGGAGAGAGACTGTGAGGGACTGTTGAGAGACGACGAGCTGGAGAGAGAGACTGAGCATTTTTTCCTGAAGTCAATTTGTAGCCTGGTGCTTCCCTAATAAACCCCATAATCTGTGAGTTCTATGTGACCACTGCAGTGAATTATTGGACCCAGCTGAGAGATGGTGGGTGCTGCAGGAGGAATGGTTGGTGTCAGGTGGCATGTCTGGCCTCACAGGGATAGGCCTAGGGCTACTGATGGTGATTCTGTCTTCTTCTTGTGGGGGGGATGGTGTTAGAGGAGGTCAGAAGATGTGGCCTCCCTACCTCTTTGGCAATATCGCATTGCAAAAAGGGCAAGGAGGCCACATGTTCTGACCTCCTCTAACCCCACAAGAGGAAGACAGAATCACTATCAGTAAGCCAAGGCCTATTACTGCAAGGCCAGACATGATGCCTCCCTCCAGCCTTTTCACTAACTGTTCCTTCCAAAGCACCCACCACCTCTCTCCTGGGTTCGATAACTCACTGCAGTGGCCACACAGAACTCACAGGTTATGGGGTTTATTAGGGAAGCACCAGCCTACAATTCAAGTTAGGAAAAACACTCACTCTCAGCCCGCTGTCTCTCAGCCAACAGTCTCTTTCAGTCGCTCTCCCAGCCATGCATGTCTCAACAGTGTCTCTTTCTCAGCAGCATGTGTCTCAGGAGTGCATTTTTCTCAGTGGCATGTCTTTCTCAGCCAGCAGACAGAGAGACACTCCTGCCTCTAGGAGGGGTCCTTTTGAGCCTGGCAGAGTGGCTAAACTAACCAATCATAACATCAGAATTCTAAGCACCTAAGAGAAAGCGAACTTCCCAGAACATTGCTTTGTGCCGCTGCGTAACAGAAATACCCGAGGTGGATAAGTTTAGAAATCAGGAGCTCCTCAGTTGCTCATGGCAAATTCCACCTTGCAGTTTACAAAGACTTAGGGAGCTCTGGTAGCATAGTGGCTAAGGCACTTGACTACTAACCAGAAGGCTGGTGGTTCAAACCCACCAGCCACTCCTCGGAAGGAAGACAGGGCAATCTACTTCCGTAGTGATACTGCCTCGGAAACCCAAGGAGGGGTCACTATGAGTCAGGTCTGACTTGACGGCACATAACAACAACAACAATGGCTAGAAAAGCCATACCAGGTAATATACTACACCGCAGATATTAATGATACTGTTCTATAATTTCCACATTCTGTGGGATCACCTTTCTTTGGAATGGGTACAGATATGGATCTCTTCCAGTCAGTTGGCCAAGGAGCTGTCTTCCCAATCTCTTGGCATAGCTGAGTGTCTCCAGTGGAGTATCCGTTTGTTGAAACATCTCAATGGGTATTCCATCAATTCCTGGAGCCTTGTTCTTCGCCAATTCTTTCAGTGCAGCTTCGACTTCTTCCTTCAACACCATTGGTTCTTGAACATATGCCACCTCCTGAACTGGATGAAGATTGACCAGTTCTTTTTGGTACAGTGACTGTATTCCTTCCATCTTCTTTTGATGCTTCCTGCATCAGTCAATATTTTCTCCATAGAATCTTCCCATATTGCAACTCAAGGCTTAAATTTTTTCCTCAATTTTTTGAGCTTGAGAAATGCCAAGTATGTTCTTCCCTTTTGGTCTTCTAACTGCAGGTCTATGCACGTTTCATTATAGTAATTGGCTTTGCCTGCTCAAGTTGCTCTTTGAAATCTTCTGTCAAGCTCTTTTTTCTTGTCATTTCTTCCATTTGCTTTAGCTACTCTTCACTCAAAGGCAAGTTTCAGAGTCTCTTCTGGCATCCATTTTGGTCTTTTCCTTTTTTCTAGTCTTTTTAATGACCTCTTGCTTTCTTCGTGGATGATGTTTTTGATGTCATCCTACAATTCTTCTGATTTTCAGTCATTGGTGTTCAATGCATCAAATCTATTCTTTCGATGGTCTCTAAATTCAGGAAGGATATATTCAAGGTCATATTTTGGCTCTCGTGGACTTGTTTTAATTGTCTTCAACTTCAACTTGGACTTGCATATAAGCCGTTGATGATCTGTCCCACAGTCAGCTCCTGGCCTTGTTTTGGCTGAAGATAATAAGCTTTTCCATCTCCTCTTGCCACAGATGTAGTCAATCTGATTCCTGTGTACTCCATCTGGTGAAGTCCATGTGTATAGCCACCGTTTGTGTTGT